CTTACCTCAGTCTGAAACAATTTCCTATGTAATATGTGATACGAGTGACATCTCTCTTTCCCACATGGTGGAGAAAGGTGTGACTGCCTGGCTCAGTAATGTGCTAAAGGAACTGTATTAAAATAAATAGAACCAAAGCACACTGAGGAAGAATTATATTACTATCCTTTCACTTTCTTCCTCCTCAAAGGATCACACATGTTGGGTAAAGTCAATGGTAGTGCAGATTGTTCGTGGGATGTGGAAGAAATGGGTCTGATGTTTTAAATTACATTTTATCATGTAATTTCTTAGGTTCTTGAAATATTTAAAGTGGATATTATTAAGAAGATAAACATAAGGTCTTTTACCCTTTCAATTTTTGTATACGTTAAGAAGAATGCCAAGGCTTTTGAGAGAGCACACAGGAGATTTATTGGCAGCGCTATATCAAGGGATATGGGACCTTAGTTATATGGGAAGATTAGAGAAGCTGGGAGTTACTTTAAAAAAATTTAATCTGGGTGTTCGAAGCAGTAAGGATTTTGACCAAGTAAACTGTTTCCAGTGGCAGAAGGGTCATTAACCAGAGGATACAGATTTGAAGTAATCAACAAAATAAGTACAGGTAAGATTGGGAAAATTCCTTTCATGCAATGAATTATTGTGATCTAGAATGCACAGCCTAAAAAGTTGGTGGAAGCAGATTTAGCAAACATTTTGAAAGTGAATCCAGTAAATACCTGAAAGTAAACACTTGCAGAGTAGCAGGGGCAAATGCAGGGTAGCGTCTGTCAGCTGTTACATTGTCCACGTGGGTAGACATGTTTGTTGCACCGATAATGATCGTTTTCACTTTCTTTTGAGATTGACTTGTGACTGTGTTGAAGGGAACCATGCCAGCCATGGCAAGCAGTTTAAGGAGGTGAACACCTTTTCCAGCCCATTCCTAATATAAGGGAAAGCGAGTAGTGAGATCCTGAAAAGGGCTGCTCAGTCGCTCAGAGGGTTGACGAATTCCACTTCTGATTCCTTTGGGTGATAAAGACCCTACAGGCAGAGCTGCCAGTCTGCAGGTTTACACATACAGTTCCCAATGAATCCACAGCTGCTGCTATGTCACTTGCTGATCATTATAGGCCTTTTGACAGGTAGATGATGGATGAAAGATCATAATCATGACATGCATGTGAGTTGGATAATATTGAAGGAAATTTGCACATTGTCAGTTTCACTGTTTTTTCCTGACCTAGGTCCAATGGCAGACTGAGTATGGATGGCTAGAGATAGATCCAGAAGTAGGATGACCAGGCTTCTTATGTATCTTGTTGAGCTACACACATTCTACAACATGGTGCTGATCTGGCTTCAAGATGGTTGGATCTTGGTTTAATCCATCCAGCCTGTCAGAGTAGTCAAAATCCTAAACTGTTGAGGGTAGGAAATCTGATGGCTATCCTCACCTGGTTTGGCCTACTTACTGAAGTGCTACCAGGGCGTGGTAACACATGCCAAGAACTACTTGGTGCCATAACTGAGAGCTGGACGAAGTTGAGGACTGCCTATGACAGGTGCTTTCCCTCCTTTACAGCCTTATACCTGTCTTGTTGATAACTTTATAATACATTGATCAATCATCCCAGGGTTATCTCCTAAAGAAACCTTGTCCACATGGCCTATATCATTCTCTAGCACTAGATTCAAGAATGATTGCCTTCTAGTTGGAGTGAGAACATACTGGTCAAGGAAGATGTCTTGATGTTGGAAAAGAATTCCTGACTGAAAGCTAACTGTGGGCAGATGATGCTGTTAAGGCATTAGTCTTTTTCACCCAGCCTCTGTATTCATTGATCAGCAAAGGCTCCTGGTTAAGATAGACCAAAATTTTAACATCTCTTTCCTGTTTGTGATCATCTCTATCTCTGTGATCTCTTCCAGACACAAAGCCTTTGATATCTATTCCCTTGTAAGTACTGGAGCTGATATGACTGATGTTTTTCACAGGAGAATCAGATCATATTTGGTAGACAAAGATATAAAGGGCTATGGTGACAGACAGGAAAGTGGGATTGCGACCACAACCTGATCAGTGTGCTCTTGTTGAATGGCAGAACAGGTTTAAAGGGATGAATGGCCTAATCCTGCTCTAAATTCCAATGTTCCTATCGTTGCAAGTAAACTAATTCCAGTCTTGACATTTTTTCTGGATTTATTCATACTTTCATTTGTGGCTGTTCTTTCAACTGCTGAAGCCATAAGCTCTGGAATGTCCTCCCTAATTCTCCACTTCCTTTTTTAAGATACTCCTTGGAACCAACCTCTTTGATCAGGCTTTTAGTCACTTGCCCTTGAATCTGCTCACATGGCTTGATATCAAATGTTGCTTTATAACATATCTGTGAAATGACAAGGAATGCTTTACTCCAATAAAAATGCACTACAATGTTGTGTTATTCATCTGGATATATGTCACCATTCCCAAATCATCGCTGAGGATCCAACCTGTCACTTCTTAGCCAGCAGCACTGTGGCAGCACCTTCAGCTCATGGGCTGCAGCAGTTTAAGAAGGGTTTTAGTCTTGCACTCATCAGGACATTTGCAAGAAATACCCAAAAGAAAGGGAGACAACATTTTATACTGTATGAGAAGAGAATGACAATGGTGGTAAGTGGGCACTGATCAGTGGAGCAAAAACAGAAATTGCTGGATTTGCTCAGCATATGTGGAGAGAAATGAGAGTTAACGTTTCAGGTCCAGTGACGCTTACTCAGAACTTGTAAATGAGTTTTGTGGAGCAGGATCAGGCAGAAACAATAGTTCTGCCTGGGCAGTTCCGTTTGTGGATTTTGGGAAGGAGGTAGAAGCGAGCTGTATGGGGTTGGGAGACTCTGAGCTTGGAGGCAGTGGCAAGGGGGAGTTACATCCCCAGATGAAATGAGGTTAGTGACCATAGTGGACACAATGGCCTGATGTTTCATGGTGCAGTCATGGTCCAGGGGAGATAGGAAGAGGTATCTGAGAGCTGGCATCCAACCTCTGCAATTTAGAGATCAGTCTGCGAGACAACAACAGCACCACCGTTATCAGTAGGCTTTATTACAAAGCATGGAGTGCAGTCAGTTCACGGGGTGATAGGTTGGAATGGGTGAGAGGGGCAGAGAAATTGAGACGACTAATGTCATGTCAACAATTCTCAATGAACAGTTCGAGTGCAGATAAAAGGCCAGAGGGAAGGGTCCAGGTAGAAGAAGAGTTTTGGACGTGGGTGAAGGAGTCTGAGGGAGAAAGAGGGGATTCTTATCCAAAGAAATGGGCACGGAGGCAAAGACAACAGAAGTCATGTCATGCCCGAAATTCATTAAGGTGGGGATGCAGAGGGAGAAAACTGAGCTCTTTCTTTGCTGAGTACAAGACGTTCAGTATCGGAGATTGGAAGGTTAGGAGGGATAATGAATACGTAACAGAAGGTGGGTTTGGGACAGGGGCTGGAGTAGGAGGGAAAGGGAGGGAGGAAGGTTCCGGAGGGCCGTAGGTATCTCCGAATTGTGCATCTTGTGTGCCTTGATGCCTGAAAGGAAAATAGAAACTTTCTTATTAGCACCTCGAATGAGTCGGAAGATGAAGTGGAACTGGGGACCAGTGCAGCTCTGAGTCAGCGTGAAGTGGTGCCGTTGGTAAGGTCAAGAGTGTGCATATGACAACGCATAGCACGCATAGTGCGGATCTCAGGATGCAGCGAGAACAGCTGACTGTGGAACATTGAACATCATGCAGATACCTACGAACCTGGGTGGATTCAAAGCACGAACAATAAAACTTGATTTGGAATTCACGTGGGGTGAGTCTGAGGCAAGGCGTCACTGAGGAATGTGATGTGGCTGTGGAAATGAATTTTAGCAAATACCTCGTCAAACACGAGAAGCGACAGATAAATTAATGATGGTGGACAAGAAGAAAGATTGGAACGGAAATTCTGTCGGAGAGAGGAGCATAATTTCTTCAAGGTCGGTATCCCTGGAAGATATGAGGTAGTGAGTTAAATGCTAAATACTCTACTGATAGGTGGAGGCCTTGGTACGGAGGATACAGAAGTTGGGTGATGACTGACAGCTAACTATTCATAATAGTCAAATTTAAACCAGACAGGTTAGCTCTGATTGATTAAAGTATTACCCTGTGTATTGAACTGGAGAATATCTGGAATCTGTTTTGTTGCACATACTTTTTTGTGCACATACTCTTTCTGACTGCAAAGAACAAAGCCTTGTCCATCAATATATGAAGCTTTCAGTATGCTTAAATGCATTCCAAACTGCAAACTAACAATCCTAAGTTGGTTGTCAGAGTAATACTCAGGATTTTTAGTCAATGCTGTCCAATCACAGAATCACTCCTAATATTGGAAACTGTATTTTGGATGTTGAAAGCACAGGATGGTCAGGTACATTCAGTGCCTTGTCTGTTGTGAACAGCTGAAGGGAGATGCTGTTTGACAGGATCCACCTGTATATCAGGATCAGAGTGACAGTGACAGGCCTGTGTTTTTGCGAGCAGTTTTATTAAATGCAGTAGCTTTAAGGGGGACTGGGGGTCGGGGAAGGTTTGACCGGCAGGGGAGGTGTAAATTGACAGCTCAATAAAGCAAAGAACTGCGGATGCTGAAACAAAAACCGACGCTTGCTGGGGGAACTCAGCAGGTCTGGCAGCTTCTAGTGGGAAGAAAGCACAGTTAACTTTTCGGGTGCGGCGACTGTTCATCAGAACCGTGGACAGTTTGGCCGGCCAATGGTGGGTGTGTGGGGGCAGGAGGTCAGTCCGCCCGGGCGAGGATGGAGTGTCGGCAGAGACTCACCGAGTCCCCAGCGCACAGTCCCAACGGCGGAGGGAAGGGCGACCGCTTGCCCCGGTTGCCGCGGAGATGGTCCACGTGACGCGGTGCCGGCCAATAGAGGGGCCCGATACTGGCGGGTGGGCCCGGGCAGCGGCGGCGCGTTGTCATGGTGACGGCGGCCGGGTGGGAGAACACGGTCTGAGAGCGACGCCGAGGAGCCACTTCAAAGGGACGTTATTTACCCTCCTCAGGGTATGACCGAGGTGATGGAGGTTACCGCAGCCCTTTTTTCAAAAAAAAGTTTAATCTGACGACATTAATTTTTCATTTTCATCAAAAAGGCTGAGGGTGTGTGGGGAGGCGCTGATTGAACATCTGACAAGGGCAGAAATTTTTCCCCCCTTTGGTAGAGGGCTGATAAGCCAGGGGACAGTGTTTACAGGTTAGGATCAGAAGGTTTAGAGGAGATTTGAGGATTTTTGTTTTTCACCTAGTTATCTGGAACTCACTGCCTACAAGGTTGGTAGAGACAAGACCCCTCAAGACGTTTAAGAACTATGTAGATGAAAAGTTGAAACACCACTGCACACTGGGCCAAGTGCTGGAAAGTGGGACTAGAATAGATGATGTCCGATGATCAGAATGGACACAAGGGGCTGAAGGGCCTTTTTCCATGCTGTGAAATCTCTATGACTATTATTTCACATGCAGGATGTGGGTGTCACTGGCTGGGCCAGCATTTATTAACCAACTTCCCCTGGACAAGAGGGTGGTGAATTTCCTTCTGGAACTGCTGCAGTCCTTGGGATGTGTCCACACCCATAGTGCTGTTTGAGAGGGAGTTTTGACCAAACAATAGTGAAGGAATGGTGAAAGAGTTCCAAGTCTTGGAAGGGAACTTGCAGGTGGTCACCCTTGTCTTTCTCGATGGTAGAGGACATGGGTGTCAACACAGTGGGAGTTTTGGTGAAATACTGCACTACATCTTATCCAGAGAGTGGTGGAGGTAGGGTTCATAAAATATTTTTAGGGCATAGGTGGATAGATTTATGGCTAACAAGGAAGTTAAAGAGTATTGGCATAGGTGGGAATATGAAATTAAAGCCACAATCAATTAAGCTGAATTCTTATGGAATGGTGGAGCAGACTCAAGAGGTTGAATGTTCTACTCCAGCTCCTAATTTATATGTCTGTGTATGGACATTGTCATTTGCAGTGACTTTATCTGAAGAATATTGACAAAGAGAGTGTAGATTTAATTTCACATTATTATTTTCTGATTAAATTTCACTGTTTCTTCTAGACACATAAAATATCAATATTTTTTATCGATATAAGAAACAAATTACCAGTTTATCTCAAGGTGCAGAAAATTCAGTGGCTGTAGCAGTGGTTACTATTTTCTGTCATCGATGAGGAATGAGAAGCTAAGCTAAGATTCCCAGTCAGTCGTTGCTATGCAATCTGCATCTTCTGTGAGAGACAATGAAATAGCACGTTCTTATCAACATTTTAAAATATGCATTTTTTATTATCATTTTCAAACAAGAAATGCAGAACACATAAATTTCCAAGTAATATTTCTGCACTGCTTTTGGTATCAGATTTTTTAAACAAAAACATGCTTCTTTGCAGCAGGGATAGATGAATATTGAAGAAGAAAGAAGTTTGAGAAGGAAAGCGTCAGCGTGTGCAAGAGAATAGACAATCTGTGAAATTGGAAAATTGAAGGCTGCCGTTGTCTGTAGGACACTGGTATACTTGAAGCAGTCTGTGCCTCTAAAGTTGGTGAACGATACAAAGCAATTCACTCAAGACAACCTGCTGCACACTCTGGCAAAAATACCTAAAGAACAAATGATTCCAGTCTCCCTTTCTGCATTCTGATTGGAACACAATTGTAAAAATGTACTGTGTTGTATTTCAAAAACAATTACAAAGAATGCTGGAGAAACACGCAGGTCAGGCATCATCAGTGGAGAGAGAGAAAAAGAGTTAATCATATTGAGTCTAGTATGACTCTTCTTCAGATTTGTCAGTTCCAAATCAGGATGGTGAGTGGCTTGGAAGGCTATTTGCAGGTGGAGGTGTTCCCATGAATCTGCCACCCTTGTCCTAAGTGGCAGTGGTCGTGGGTTTGGTAGGTGCTGTCAAAGGAGCCTTGTTGAATTTCTGCAGTGCACACTGTTGCTTCTGAGGGTTAGTGGTGGAGGGAGTGAACGTTAGTGGATGTAGTGCTGATCAAGCTGGCTGCTTTGTCCTGGACGTTGTCATCCTCTTGAGTGTTGTTGGAGCTGTACTCATCCAGGCAAATGGGGAGTATTCCATCATACTCCTGGCTTGTGCCTTGTAGATGATGGACAGATTTTAGAGAGTCAGGAGGTGAGTACTCACTGCAGGATTTCTCGTCTTTGACCTGCCCTTGTAATCAGTGTATTTATGTGCTAACTGAAGAAGGATCACTAGATTCAGCGTTAACTCATAGAGTCGTACAGCATGGCAACAGTCCCTGCACTGACCAGATATTCCAATCTGACCTAGCCCCATTTTCCAGCACTTGGCCCATATCCCTCTAAACCCTTCCTATTCATGTACCCATCCAGGTGACTTTTAAATAATGTAAGTTTACCTGCCTCCACCAGTTCTTCTGGCAGCTTGCTCCATACATGCACCATTCTCTGTGAGAAAATGTTACCACTCGGGTCCTTTTTAAATCTTTCCCCTCTCACCTTAAACCTATGCCCTCTAGTTTTGAACTCTGCTTTCTCTCTACAAATGCTGCAGACCTGCTGAATTTCTCCATTATTTTTTGCTTTTATTTCATATCTTCAGCACTGGATCACTGACTAAAGGTTTCTATCAACAATTTCAGACAGTTTGGGAAAAGAAACAGCAATGTTCATAAATGCACAGAGAGGTAGCAGCTTGAACCATGTTAAGCATGCTACAATTTACCGCAGTGATTTTGCAGTAGGGAAGAGAAACATCATCTTGGGATCCTTTCCCTTGTACAGCACAATATTTGACTTACAGTTGTACTCACTTTTCTTTCATTGTCTTGCAGTGAAGCTGAATATTTCTGAAGCAATTAATGGCTGCTAGCAATGTGGAATCATCTGATCGAGCAGTACAGAACACCTTCAAATTGCCAGAAGGATTTAAGAGCAAAGTGGTGGATCCTGGCAATCCAAAACTGGTCAAAAGAGAGGAGAAAAATGTTAAGGTATGAATGAGCTTGAACACTCTAATCCTAAGGTTACAAATACTAGACTATTTGTCTTTCAACTTCAGCCTGGAACTCATCCTCAGGCTAACTTCAGACTTCTGCTGAAACTGGAATCTTTGATGTCCATGTTTTGGGTTAGTCACAGAACCTGTCTACCTGGAACTCCCCCAACAGCTTTTGTTATCTTGCATTGGAATACTCACGGTTTTGAATACTGTTAAGTTTCCTGCTCCTGAATTTGGTAATGGCTGCTGAACAGAAAGTGGGTATTCTATCCTAACTTTACCGTCTTTCTCTATTGATAGTTCTCGTTGTTCCGTTCTCTGTTTCCCTGACCTTTCTTGCCTAAATATCACTGACCAGTTGTCCTGTCCTATGTTATACCTTTGTTGGACTGCTGTTTCTTCAGTACTATATATTGTTGTGCTTGAACTTTTGTTGTTTCAGTCCTATTCCAGTCCCCACCCACAACTCTTTCTCTGGTATGTCAATGACATCATTGACGCTACTTCCCCCTCTCATCTAGAATTGGAAATGTTTATCTATTTCACTTCCAATTACCATCCCGCTCTCACCTTCATCTGGTCCATCTCTGACTTCTCCCTTCCCTTCCTCGACATCTCTGTTTCAATTTCTGGGGCTAGACTGGCCACCAGTATCCATTACAAACCTACCGACTCCCACAATTGCCTTGACTATACATCCTCACCCTCTGGTTCCTGTATAGACTCTATTCCATTCTTCCAGTTCCTCCATCTCTGTCGCATCTGTTCTGCCAACTTCCATAAGGGGGCATCCGAAATGTTCACCTTCTTCCTCAACCAAGGATTCCCCAGCACTGTAATTGATGGGGTCCTCACTTTGGCCATGACCGCTTCCTTTGTCACAACAGCGATAGGGTCCCCTTGTCTTCACCTACTATCCCACCATATCTACATCCAAAGGCAGAAGACAGGTGACACCAGGTTATAGTCCCAACAGATTGATTTGAAGTCGAAGTCACACTCACCTGATGAAGGAGCAACACTCAGAAAGCTTGTGATTTCAAATAAACTTGTTGGACTATAACCTGGTGTCAAGTGACCTCTGACTTTGTTCACCCCAGTCTGACACCGGCACCTCCACATCACATCCAGAAGGTTGTTAGCTGCCATTTCTGCCACCTCCAGTGGGATGCCACCACCAAACACCCTCCCCTCGCTTGTCAGCTTGCTGCAAGGACCGTTCCATCTGGGACAGCCTGGTCCACCTCTCCTTCACTCTCAATACGACCCCACAGCATCTTTCCCTGCAATTCAGAAGGTGTAACACTTGCTCGTTTATTTCCTCCCACCTCACTATCCACAGCTGCAAGCACACATTCCAGGTGAAGCAGCGCCTTACCTCCACTTCACTCAATCTAGACTACTGTATTAACTGCTCATGATGTGGTCGCCTCTACATTGGGGAAAAGAAGCATAGTTCTGTTCTGTCCACAAAAAAGACCCTGAGCTTCTGGTTCCTTGACACTTCAACGCACCGTGTTCCCTGGCCAACGTCTCTGTCTCAGACTTGCTGCAGTGCTCCAGCGAAGCTCAGCGCAAGCTGGAAGAAGAATACCTCATTTTCTACTAGGGAACCCTGCAGCCTTCTGGACTTAATATTGAGTTCAACAATTTTAAGGCTTTCCCCCAATCTCACACACCAGACCTTGGCATCACATGGGTTTCTGCCATACACTACCCATTGTCAGTCACTAATATCCCCACTAGCAGCTATCCATTCCGCCAGAATGACCTTTAGCCACTCCTTTGTCTGTCTAACTGTTTTTCACTCTCTTTCGGCTCTATCTCTACCTATTGTTTTATTTTCTCCTCCCTATCACCCCATCTTCTGTGTGAAAACTGCCTTTTACCTAGCTGTGATCAGTTTTGAAGAAGGGTCACTGGACCCGAATTGTTAACTCTGATTTCTCTCCTCAGAGGCTACCAGACCTGCTGAGATTTTCCTGCAATTTCTGTTATTGGCTGTGCTAATTGGACAGACCCAAAGTGTTTTTCTGACTTAGGCCATTGCTGACTCTGGAAGATGCCACTCAAGTAGCCTTATTGTTCCTGATGTTCCTACACGATCCACATTCTGTGAAGTTAATGTCTTAACCTTACTTCCCATCCCACTCACTCCATCCCCAACCAACAACATGGTTGTTGTTCTTGAATCAGCAATTCACCATCTGTAACTTTGTGATGATAATAAACAAATTAACATCCTAGACCTGACTTAAACCTGGTTCACTGCTGGAGATTACTTTCTCCTCACCTAACTTTCTGTGCTTGGCTTCTCATTTCGTCCTTTCCTCTGCTCCTGAAGTGTTCATGCCTGAACAGATTGCCTATAACGTGCTGCTACCATAAGTTGGTGTTTTAGAAAAGGTGCATAGAATGAAACCAAAAGTTGGAGTTCTTGGTTTTGATGATAGGTTCAAAAAGTTTGTGGGATTGGAGGGGATATGATTGAATAAAATTGAATCTTAAAATGAAAATATTCGATGCAAACTGGTGAGGATTTTTAAATGAATAGAGATGGTTGGACTAGAGATTCTGCAAATACATGCAATGGATTTTTATTCTAAACTTTGACTGAATATCATTAAGGATCAGTGAGCATTTATTGAAAAGCTTTCTCCCTGTCTCTACCAGGCAACAATTCTTTTAACCTGTGCCATGTTACCCCAATGGCACTCCAACATTAGCATTGCAATTTTGTTTTTTGGGCTGGGGCATACAAACAACTTTAACACTCTGGGGAGAAGTTCTCTGGGTAAACACTGATCAACAGGTAGAAACAAGCAATCTCTTAATTCTCACATACATGCTGTGTTTAATGTTTATGCAGACTGTTAACTAAGTAAGTTGCATACACTCCCACAACTGATATTATGAAAGCATGCCATATTGTGGTGTTTTGATTATCTATGTTTTACATTTATTAATTCCCACCCACCTAAATTTTAATTGGGGAAAAATAACACCATTATTTTTGCCTGTAACATTTTTAAAGTGTACTGAATATCTTCTCAGTTGGGGTGGTTTGATTTCAGTGAAGTTTTTACAGAGAGCTATTTTGTTGTGTTGATAACACGTTCAGGCATTCATCAAAGCTGGTTACCAAATAGAACTGCAAATGAAGAAAAAGGTTTTAGGATAATGATGGCTTTTGATAATGATAGTTTGGTAAATTGTGGTGCAGTAGAAACCAAACCGTGGGCTGAGACATTTCAACATAACTGAAAACAGATGTAGAAATTGTTTTAGTCTCACAAAAATAATGCTGGTTGAATCCATGGAACTTTCTGCGAAAACGTTTTAGTTACAGCTTGATCTATACAAATATTGCCCCAGATATTCCGATTGTCAGAGTCATTGGAGCAGCGCTGGCTGGAGTTATGTGTCAGAGTTTGCAGAATCCCCAATGCAGCTGACTGGGAATTGCCCTGGAAATTTAATTTTCCAATGGTCAATTCACCTTAATCTGGAACCCCCAGAAAGAGTGCACTAAAGTTGGACAATTCAGAGGGTTCTGACTTAATTAGGCCTAACAGCTACCCAAGAAAAATAGAGGATTACAAACCAACTCTAATTCTTGAGAAACTTTTCAACAGATCCCCAAATCACCTCTGACTCTGACCAACCACTCTCACCACATGGTCCGACACTGGGGGAGAATATAATCTGATGTGACACCACTGGACCTGACCCTGCTAGATCTGAACCACCCCTCCTCCAGCCTGATGCAACCTTTCTGGATCCACTGACCCCCAGGACCATGACATACACACATACGAGTGCACGCACACACACCCATGTCCATACTCCCCACCACTGACTCATTGGACCTGACCCCTGCCCGGTACATTACATGCTTCACCCACCTGCCACCTTACAGCATTAGTTGTTATGTCACTTGTTGCAGGTTCATGCCTTAATTATCCAAGTATATTGGTTCCTATTTATTTGGTTTGGAGGTGAAGTAATCTCCATGTCTAGGTCTGAATTAACTTTGAGTAATGTTTCATAAAATGTACTTTGGTGATTGCAAGCTAACATAGTTCATTATTTTATATAAGCATTACATTTTTTGCCATGTTACCTGTTTTAAATATGATTTCCAAGCACGCTTCACTTTGTATAAAGCTGCAATTTATCTGACGTCATGGTGATAGAAGATAAGATTCAGGCAGTTTAAGTTGCCTGTTTGGAATTAGAAACGATTTGAATAAATCAATTTTCAGTCAAGCTATCATTGTCCAGAAAGAAGTATAAGCCAAATTAATGTCAGTATTGTTTCATCCTGGTTTTCCTTTTAACTCTTGCCATCAGTGACTGTATTGTATTGTGCTGGTATTTCTTTTTAACCTTTATTCTTTCATGGGATGTGGGCATTGCTGACAAGGCTTGCATTTATTGCCCAACCTAATTACCCTTGAACTGAGTAGCTAAATAGGCCATTTTGGAGGGTAGTTAAGAGTCAACCCAATTCAGTGAGTCTGGAGTTGCATGTAGACCATATGTGAGTAGCAGATTTCATCCCCTGAAGAACATTAATGAACTAGATGGCTTTTAAAAGCCATCAATGATAGTTTCATGGTCTCTATTACTAAGACTAGCTTTATATTGCAATTTTATTTAAATTCCACTAGCTGCCATTGTGAGGTTTAAACCTGTGTTCCCAGAGTTTAAGGTGTAACACCTGCTCGTTTATTTTCTCCCACCTCACTATCCACAGCCGCAAGCACACATTCCAGGTGAAGCAGCGCTTTACCTCCAATTCACTCAATCTAGACTACTGTGTTAACTGCTCATAATATGGTCTCCTCTACATTGGGGAAAAGAAGCACAGTTCTGTTCCGTCCGCAGAAAAAGACCCTGAGCTTCATGGTCTCTGTTACTAAGACTAGCTTTATATTGCAAGTTTATTAATTTTATTTAAATTCCACTAGCTGCCATTGTGAGGTTTAA